CTCTCTGTTGGAGCTCTCTCCTGGCCGATGAAAGGGGATATATTAGGAGGGTAATTCCGAGAGGGAGATAACTGTCAGACAGGATGAAAAATGCTGTCTATCTCCAGGACTCGAGACTCAGGCCATGTCAAAACTACAACTTTAGGGCTCAACGGACCTTGGCGAGCCTGTTGCAGATAGCTAGTCTCTAATGCCTTTATTCAGTTTCACTCACTGTTTTCTCTCTTCTCTCCCTTCCTCTCGTCGGACGTTTACTACGGAGCATATCTCAAGTACATCAGTGGTTCGGCAGTTTTTAACCTACATCATCACCTTCTATTAATGATCTTTCACCTACTTATATAGAGATTAAATGGATCAGGAAAAGAAAAAAAAAATCCTAAAGCCAGGTGTTGTCATGAAGTAAAACCGGTGGACAATGTTTTGATGTTTTGTCACAGTCAGGACGGTGACTTTGTGTGTTATGTAAATGGGGTTAGGTGGAGGTGGTCTTCGAGACGGGTTATCTCCTGAGTTTGGAAAGACAGGCTAATTTTTTCCAGCTGCTGTGTGGGGAGGGAGAAATGACAGATTTACCTCCTTCTTAAGCACTCAAGACAGCCTTCGTCTCCAGGAACTGTCAGAGGGGCCTTGTTAGAAAGTTTCCTGTGGCTGGATACTTCTTGCTCAGATCTCTTTCACACTCTAACCCAATCATACCCTATATCTGTACTCTGTTGTTCTCTTTACTACTACTACTATTTTTTTTCACATTGCCTCTACTCTGATAAATTACTAGATTCTCTCCTGCGCTCACTCTCTCTCTCACTCTCTCACTCTCTCTCTCTCTTTCTCTTTCTCTCTCTCTCTCTCTCTGTGTGTGTGTGTGTGTGTTGATGGACACAGTTCCCGTAGTCTTCGAAATCAAAGACACATGCGCACATATTGACACGCTCACACAAAAATCAATTTTATTGATGATGTGTGCCAATGTAAGGCCCAATGCAAGACACACACACACACACACACACACACACATATTAAAAAAAATACTGGCGTCACTGCCTCTGAATCCCATCACAAGCAAATCTCCAGCGAATTTACTGCAGAGCGGGAGCGGAGAGCGAGCATTACCTCATAAAAATATTAGCTCATAGCTGCTTAAATCTGATACCTTAGCAAGGAGGAGCAGGCAGCTTGTAAAGCCAAGCATTTTTGCTTCGTATGGAAAACTTTATATGTAAGATAAAGTATCGTGTGTAGAAAGCTGAAACTGAAAAATGTCTAATATGTACGGGTTTGTTTTTTGTTTTTTAAATAAAACAATAAAAATTGATTTTCAATTCAATTCAATTTGTAGAGCGCTTTCAACAATGGACAGTGTCTCAAAGCAGATTTACAGAAATATATAAACACAGGATACAGATTTTAAGTGTGTGGATTAATCCGTATTGAGCAAGCTGGCGGCTTAAGATGATATGAGGATGAAACCGTGAGAGGAACCAGACTCAGAAGGGAACCCTGGGTAAAATCTGGGTCAAATTTTCATTTAACTACACAAACGATGGCACAATTGTGGACCACGCAAATATTCTCAAAACTATTTCTGATAGTATTACTGATATTACTGCATGTTTCTGATTATTATGGAGTAGAAGCATATGTAAGGTACAATAAAATGGCAGCCCCGACTTTCTGTTTAAAAGTGTACATAGGTTCATCGAGGCATGTTTGCGGGTTGGACTTCTCAGTACCGGACCTTTGCGACATTTATTTTGACAATGCAATAAAATCTCATAGCAAAACAGCCCCCGTTGGCCTGGATAACACTAATGTTTAGACTAGCACGAGCGTCAAAGTGGTGTCGGAATAGCTGAAGCAGATGTGTCGCTACTTCTCACTTTCCCCTCAAATGCTTATCTTACTAATTCTCTGTGACACGAGCCATCCTGCAAGCTAAACTAGCGTATGAAAATGCTAATCAAGACCGTAGAGTGCGTCATCGCCTCGTCGTGCACTGTTGGATCCTGGATTTGTGTGTTTTTTTTGTTTTTTTTACGAAAACCTTTCCTAGTCTGGTAAAAAAGTTTCCACTCGATCGAGGTATCTGTGCGAGTCTTGATTGTGTCACTGAGGAAGACAAGCAGAGGTCTGAGGCCCGAGATTACTACAAGTCTGGTCGCCTACTGTAAAGGTCAATGAGACAAGACATACACGCTGGTTCCTGTAAACACACCCGTGAAAGCGTACACACATCCATACCCAACACACACAAACACGGAAAGCACAGACGTGAATGAAAATCATAAACGTATGCCAGCTAAAAGAGTTTAAGAACCATTTAAACCATGTAAATCATAATTGACAGCCGTTCTGAGGAGATAAAACCCAGATTGAGCAGGCCGGTTTCTGGTTTCTCCTTTCCATTCTGGAAAGCAGCTCGGCTCATGGCTTCGGCACAAAGTGATGAGTTCTTTATTACTCCAGCATGCTGTTTTGATCATGTGTGTGTGTGTGTGTGTGTGTGTGTGTGTGTGTGTGTTGTGCCACGCAGACGCCAAGTTCTTCCTCTCAACCACACAGCCTATCATCAACATAACCCAAGACAAAACAACAGCCCCACTATACAAAAACAAAATAAATAAAAAAAAAACAATAAATGAACAACAACAAAAAAAACTTGCCAAAGGATGAGAAAGGGGAGAAAGTAAGTAGGGAAAAAATTTACAAAAGGAGAAGAAGAAGAAGAAGAAGAAGAAGAAGAAGAAGAAGAAGAAGAGGAAGAAGAAAGAAATACTGGCACACAATTTTCCACTACATCAGCCACTACTTAAAAGAGCAATTACAACACTGGGTATCAAAGTCCCCAATTACCCCTGGGCAGGAGCTGGGTGGGTTTGTGTGTGTGTGTGTGTGTGTGTGTGTGTCGGAGTTTGGACAAGCTACATGCAGCAAATTTGATCGTTTCTGTTCTAAATGAAGCTCGGCAGAATTCATATGTTTGCTGTGCCTGCTGTCTGCTCACATAATCTTCACCTACGCTCTTTACAACATCCTGATAAACACTACGCAGATGCTGACATGCAGCTCCAGCAGCTTTAAAGCTAAAATGACAAGTGAGAAGAGGACAACGAGCGGAAAAATGAGAGGGGAATATGCATTATATGGCATGTACAAGAGCGTGAAAATTCAAATATCAAGCTTAGAGATGCATGATCATGTCTAAAAGGGAAATCATAACTATCTCAATAAATGAGGTAATCAGACTGACAGACAGATAGACAGACAGAAAGATATATAGACAGACAGATAGATAGGTAGACAGACAGACAGACACATAGATAGGTAGACAGACAGACAGAATGATGGATAGGTAGACAGGTAGACAGACAGACAGATAGATATATAGACAGACAGACAGATATATAGGTAGACAGACAGACAGACAGACAGATAGACAGACAGACAGATATCTAGATAGACCGACAGACAGATAGATAGACAGAAAGATAAATAGACAGACAGACAGCTAGATAGTTAGATGGACAGACAGACAGAATGACAGACAGACAGACAGACAGATAGATAGATAGATAGATAGATAGATAGATAGATAGATAGATAGATAGATAGATAGATAGATAGATAGATAGATAGATAGATAGATAGATAGATAGATAGATAGATAGATAGATAGATAGATGCTAGAAATTCATGTTTAATTAAGTGCAACTTGACAGCCCACACCCCCTCACTCACTGACACACAACACACACACACACACTGATTTGTCTCCTCTTCAAGCCTCTCCGGTTTAGCGAAATGCAAGCTGCTTTCTCTGAGGTGGAGCTCCCTGGTGGAAATGGCTTTAAGGCGCAGGAGGAGAAGAAAGAGCGGCAGAGAGAGTGAGCTCTTTATCTGTGTGGTCCAGCTCACCTTTCTGCCGCTGCTGTGCCGCTCAAAGCTGGGGCTTGTTCTCTGTGCCACGGATAAAAGCGCCTGTGAAGCCCGATCCCGTCCCTGGAGACGTCATTTAAAGCCACCGTCCCACTCGCCGGTGTCATTTCAACAAGCAGCCTCCGTCTTTCTATCACTCTTGCCATCCCTCCGTCACTGACCCTATCTGCTCCGTCCACTTCCCCATGCCGGCTGTCACGGATACCTGCTCCCTGCTTCTGTTTCTCTCTCGAGCACTTAACGCTGACGTTGCCCTCCATCTGCACCCGAGTATTAGTGCTTACTCCACTGATCATAAGAAGGAACGACATGTTTGTATCATTTCTTCTCCCCTGTCTGTGCTAAAGCAGGAGACTTGATCTACAACTATTGTTCTTGGTCTTATTAACCGAGAAGCTGAAACGATCCATAAAAGCGTGCTTGTCAAATATGCACTAGGTCCTAGACTCTGGACACTATATATCTTTCCTGTTGAGATAAAAATAAAAAGCTGTCTGTAAAAACAGGACGTGTCCGAGGCATCACCTTTCATCTCGCCTGCATTAATGACGTCAAGGCCTGTTTCGAGAGCAAATATTCCAATCATAATATACTGTGTGGAATAGACGCAAGTTGGAAACCTGCACAGACGAGGGATTCGCTCATTCTCTCATCGCGTGTGCGAGTGTGCAGGCGTCGCGTCTTTACGAGGTTATCTTCCGGGTGCGGTAAGGACAAGACAATAAACAGGACTCTCAGCAGGGAAGAACACGGCTGAGCCGGGCTGAAGATAAAATTCCGAAGGGCGCAGGACTTGTGTGACGTGAGAGCGCAGCAGGTGTTTGTACAGATTCTGGATAGTGCTTATGAAGACGAAGAGTTCGCCATGCTTCGTTTTGGAAGGGAGTTCTTGTGGTGGGATACAGCGGCTGAAGTTTCCACAATTCCATGAACGCCCTCCAGGAAAAACTCGCACCAGTTCCAATTCATTACCACAGATTCGTTAAAACTGTCACATGTTGGTCAGATTGTGTAGCTATACCGGACATGCCCACTAGTACATCGAGCTTTACTTCCTGTTTCTGGGCAGCGGTAGCTTAGTGGTAAAGACATTGGACTTCTGATCGGAGGGTCGTGAGGTCAAACCCCAGCACTGCCATGCTGCCACTGTGGAGCCCTCGAACAAGGCCCTTAACCCTCAACGGCTTAGTTGTATAAAATGACTCTGAATAAGGGCGTCTGCCAAAATGCAATAAATGTAAATGTTTATTTCAAGACTCATACAGACGGACAGCAAATCCCAGAGAGACAGACAAGCTTCCAGTATCACTCTCCTACGACGCAGCGTTCGATACAGAGAAACGGATCAGGTTCAGTACTAATTGTCCGTGTAATGAATTGCTCTTAAGCAATCTGTTGGCGTTCTGCGAGCAGCCCCGCTAACCTGCAGCGCTGGCATCGTGGCCGTGTGTGCAGCTGTGGAAATCCCGCAGGCTGGCGAGCGACGCTGCCCGATTTAGACAGGAAACACGAGAACTCTGAAAATAAAGTTCAACTTTGCGCTATTAGCGTCAGAATGACTAGGAGACTTTAAAAACAGCAGCAGTCTAAAAATACAATGTAAGGCACTCAGCGTGAGGGCGAGAGAGGGTGAGGGCGAGTGAGAGAGAGAGCTGGCATTTCTCTTTTTGGCCAAGGGCGAGGTTGGGCAGGGTAACCAACATGGCCACACCACCGGAATGCTCTGGCCAACCACCTCGCTTCCTTTCCACGTTTATGGAGAATCAGACACTGGCTCCTGCCTCTGAGACTGCAGCAGGTTAGCCTTCATCATCCTCCTGTTTCACTCATATACACACGTGTACACAAGCATCTATTCTTCATCTTCTCCTTAATAATAATAATAATAATAATAATAATAATAATAATAATAATAGTCATGTTTGTGTTATATATTTAGAAATAACATTTATTCATAAAGAATAACAAAAAAGACTTAAAATTTTAAGTCAATTTTAAAGATTATTATTATTATTATTATTATTATTATTATTATTATTATTATTATTATTAACCATTCCTGTCATTTAAATGAATGGGGAAAAAAATGACCATTTCAATAGCTACAAATGATAATCATTTATGGAATCCAGTTGTTGATTATCTGAGTCATTCAAAATTGGTTCACGGTAAATGAATCAATACTGGCTAAAAAAAATATTTTTCAGACTAAACACAAATTTCCAATGTAACATTTCTGATTCCTCAGACTGCCTCACTGCATTAGCAATTACTTAATAGACTCTTGGCACTCATGCTGAGATGCTGAGGCCTTCTCGGTGTCTGAATCACAACAAGAGGCTTCATGTGCGTGAGTGTGTATCTGTGTTGGGACAGGAGGAAGAAAATAAAAGGGGAAGATTTGCTAAACATGCCAGAAACAACAGAGCGGCTGTTTTCTTTGGCAGCGCAGACATGGCAACACGCATGAGTGAGAGAGAATCGGGACAAACAGCAGGGGAGAGAGAGTGAGAGAGAGAGAGAGAGAGAGAGAGAGAGAGAATGAGAGAGAGATAGTGTGTGAGAATGAGAGAGAGAGAGGGAGAGAGAGGCAGAGAGGAAGAGAGAGAGAGAGGAGAAAGAGAGAGTGGGAGAGAGGGAGGGAGAGAGAGAGAGAGAGACAGAGAGAGATAAAGAGGGAGAGAGAGTGGGAGAGAGAGGGAGAGGGAGAGAGTGGGAGAGAGAGAGAGGGCGAGAGGGAGAGAGAGAGGGAGAGAGAGAGAGAGAGAGAGAGAGAGGGAGAGAGAGAGAGGGCAAGAGGGGAGAGAGAGAGAGAGAGAGAGAGAGAAGAGAGAGAGAGGGAGAGAGAGAGAGGCGAGAGGGGGAGAGAGAGTGAGGGCGAGAGGGAGAGAGAGAGAGAGGGTGAGAGGGAGAGAGAGAGGGATAGAGAGGGAGAGAGAAGGAGAGAACAGCTTCAGCGGCAGCCGCTGTCAGCACTCGGGGCAGCGTCCAGACTGAACGCATTACAAGTGTTCCCGCTGTAAGATTATATTTGGATTCTCTAGGCTCGCTTCCAATTATTACTGGCACTTAATACTTTTCGCACCATTCACAGATCCCCTTACCCCTGCTTCAGACTGCGCCACGTTTGGCTGCGATCAGCACTTTTTCAGCGGCCGGCGAGGGAAGAAAGGGAGGGCAAAAGAGGGAGAGAGATGAACGAATGGGAAAGAAGACATTTAAGAGAGAGCGAGGTATAGACAATCAGAGAGAGAGAGAGAGAGAGAGAGAGAGAGAGAGAGAGAGAGATGATTATGAGGCAAAGTAATTCAGCGGTGTGCTGCAATGAGACGAGGCCGAGCAAATAAAGGAATGAAGCATGATGTTTTGCCGGCGCTGGGTTAATGAGGCCATTAGAATTGAAAATAAAAACAGAGAGACAGCCTTTTGTTGCTCACCACAAATTCACTCTCCAAGCCGTCATTAAACTGTTGAAACTGGTGGAAAAAGCATATTAGGGGGCGGCTGGTGGAAAAGACTGGCCATCGTGTTTTAAGAGAAACATCAAATATTTGCCAGCGCTGACACGTTACATTTCCTTAACGTTGTTTATCGCATTAGTGGGCAATAACAAACTAGAAAAGTAACTATTAATTGCTTGAAACGTTAAGCCAATAATGAGCTCCTGAATTAACCCCATGTTCATTATTTACTCAAAGAGTCCAACGTCAATTAGCGAAATTCTTAACGACTTTGTTAACGTTCCTTTTATTAATGTTGAAGTTCTGGGTTTGTTATTGTTACCTAATGCCTGAGTTAACACGAAGGGAACCTTAACGACTGTTGATTTGAACATGATGTATATTCATGTTTAAGTCATCAGATGAGGGGAGAGATGGAGGGCTAGACAGACAGACAGACGGACAGACAGACGGACGGACAGCCCACGAGGCGAATGACAGACAGGCAGTAACAGAGCAGAATTGTTTGACCGGCGCTCTGGTTTTCATTAGCGTCCTGAAGAGATGGTCTAGTTTGTGCTGGCCTCCTCCTTCTCCTCCTCCTCCTCCTCCTCCTCCGTCGCCCTTCTCCCTTCTCAAAACATTTCCTCGGCCCGCTAAAATCCACTTTCCTCTGATTTCTCTCTCTGCCAGGAGAAAAGCGTGAGTCGTACATGGCTTCACTGGAATGCCATTTAGGGAGACGTTGGAACTATTAACCGCCAGAAGTCTGAACACATTTCTGTCCTTTTCCTTGATGCTCGTCGGTTGACCTGCTCGTTAGACGGTGTACAGTATGATAGATATTTCACAAGAGCTGGACAGTGAGACGCTCGTTTCCTGTTCCACCAGTAGAGTGTTTAAGATGGGTGGGGTTCATAAAGCGCCCTGCACAGAGGGTCTGCTGAAACTCACACTCTCGTCGTAAAAAAAAATTAGCATTTATGCCGTTTACATTTTTTTTTATACGGAACAGGCCTCCATCTTACTCTAGTCAGACAACATGAGTGTTTATTTAGGGGGGAAAATCAAGACACACACACACACACACACACACACATATACATACACACACACACATACATACACAGGGTCCAAATCTAGTCACAGCCTGCAGGCAACAAGGTTGGTTAGGAAAACAGCCAATCTGCACCCAAGCACTTCTACCGAGTCAGGGGTGAGTGAACTCGCCCTTCTTGTGTGTGTTAACGCATAAATTTTGCGCTAAAGCGGCAAAAGTTCACAAGCGACTACCGCAAGGAGCTAAAGCAGAGCATGGACGAAGAAACCTATTAAAAATGTGGAACGTAAAAAAGTCATATATCTAGCGAAGTGATATTCTTTGTTAAGCTGGTGTTGTTTCACCATTTACACTTTTCATTTTCGGTTTGGTGTGTTTTTAATCCAGTTTTTATTATTTATTTTTTTTTTTTTAATTACTTAGGCATAATGGAATTAAATCGAAAAAGAAAAGTAAATAAATAAATAAAAATAAAATAAATCCAAGCTTATAAAAAATAAATAAAAAAAGATAATGAAATCCCTCCAGGACTCCCACCTGGCCTAAAAGCCATTGAAAGGAAACAACAACATCATTTTCCTGCTCTGCTTCGGGGGCTTGTTCCTCTGGGACTGCCGGTTCATGCCCTGGTGCACCTTGCAGCTTCCTGAGCTGGGAGGAAATAATGGAATTATATTTACCAGCAACGCATCAAAGTTCACTGGGCCTGATGAGCCGGCGAGTACAGCAGCTCCAGCCCTCGAGCCATACAGTCTTTCCTATTACTGGCATGTCCTGTTTCATAGATGGATGGATCTCGACAGAGGCATCCATGCGACATTCAGCCACATATTATTACCCGAATCAATGTCCATGTCTGGGGAGATTTATGACGGCGGTGAGGGAAGTTTTGCGTGGTAAATGGAGCCCGGTTTTGAACCGCGGGGGAAGGGGACGGCTTATGAATCTCTAGATGAGCTAATAAACAGTTATGTTTCGGAATTAACGTGGGCTGTGTGAATACCTGTACTGCAGATCGTGAGCTGTGACAAGCATGACTACTAAAGCATGCCAGAATTAGATCCAAGGCAGTGTGAGCCTGTTCGGTTTCACTCTTTATTTATCCCTCCTGCACTACATACAGGAACTTTTGGTACCACAAAACTGTACTTTTCCACTAAGCACCGATCCAGTACCTCATAAGTCAGGGTAAGCAGTGCTGGTTATACTATGTATACGATGTCATTAATCAGTCTGGCAATACCATATTCACACAAAATAAAGAAATAAATAGTTAATGAATGAATGAATATATGGTCTGCACTTATATAGTGCTTTTTCTAACCTTAGCGGTTCTACAAAGCGCTTTAGATTGTGTCTCATTCACTCATTCACTCACACAGCAATGGTGGCAGAGTTGCCATACAAGGCGCTAGCTTGCCATAGGGAGCAACTCGGGGTTCAGTGTCTTGCCCAAGGACACTTCGGCATGTGGAGTCATGTGGGCCGGGAATCGAACCGCCAACCCTACGATCAATGGACAACCTGCTTAAGCACCTGAGTCACGCCAAAATGCTGCTATACTTGTGCCATCAAAACATTTAATTTCTCTTGAACTGTCATTTGACAGCACAAACACAACTACTAAGTTTCCAAACA